ATGGAGACAAACATGCACTATGCCGTACTAAAAAAAAAACTGGCACCTTTCCTGAAAAATCTCACTGCACCATGTTGCACTGATGTGAACAGGCACATTAACAATAATGGTGACATCTCAATAAGAATCATTTGGTTTTCAGTGTCATGTAGTGCATTGCAACAGCAGCCAGAGGACAAATCACACTAGTGTGATCAGGGCCTTACAATGAACAACATGAAAACTGTGGCAGAGTGGCAAAGGCTAGTGCAGTTGTTCTCAACCAGGGTTCCATTAAACTGTAAGGTTCCCCCGTAGATTGCTAGGGGTTCCTTGAGCAGTGGCAAATTGATCTCCCACCTACACCTACTACAATGTTTGTGGCAGAATGTTCCTCTTACATCCAGTGTATGGAGTCACTTCTACACTGTATACTAATGTAAGGGCTCACTTTTCCACTGATCACCATTATAGGAGCACAAGAAGCAAGTTTTTTTTCCTATGCTCCTATAGCTCCATCTAGTGGCCATAATGTGGTATTACATTACACAAAAAAATAAAATATACAGTCGCTGGCCAGCAGCAAAATGTAAATAAAGAATTTCGTTACCGACTAAATAAATGTAGTTGCTAATGAAATGTTTAGTCTCCACATTTTTATCAAGCAACAGCAAAAAAAATCGAGGACATATTATAGCCTTGATTTTTTTGTCGGCTGCTTGAGAGTGCCGGTTGCTTGAATGCCGGATAATCATTTTTATCATGGGTTTCCCAAGCCCTAAAAATAATTTCAAACATTTCCCTGGGGTAAAAAGGCTGAGAAAGACTGGGCTAGGGATAAGACGTTGGGGAGCATATTATGTAGCATGTAAATAATAACATAAGCCTGACAAAGTATATTCACTTAATGGTGACTTTCCATGTCATCATTTCCTAATTCTACCCTGTTTCCCCGAAAATAAGACCTACCCCGAAAGTATGACCTAGTACTATTTTTCAAGATTCCTGTAATATAAGACCTACCCTGAAGATAAGAACTAGTTTGGTGGTAGCATGTGAGGGGGAACTTGCAGGAGAGATGGTATCAGCCTGAAGGGACATACTGTATTAAGGGGATGACAGGGGACTCCCTCCAGACTTCACCAACTGCTGTCCCCCTGAAGACACTGCTTAATGTAATGGTACGGTACTGTAATGTGTACCGGTAAATGGTACCGTATTTTACCACGCTGTCCACTGTCTGATGTCCCCACTGCTGCACCGCTGGTACCACTGTCCCTGGTGACAAAAGGAAGCCGGCGCTGTAGAAAGCAAGGCTGCGGCGGCGGAGGGAGCAGAGCCGCATTAGCCGATATTCCTCTATAGCGCCGGTTACTGTGACAGGCATAGTGATACCAGATAACTTTGGATTGTTGTACATTTTGTTGCACATTAGAGAAAAATAAGACACTCCCTGAAAATAAGACCTAGTGTGTTTTTTGGGGGCAAAAAAAATATAAGACAGTGTCTTATTTTCGGGGAAACACGGTATCATACGTAATTGCAAACTGATCACCTCCAATGATGTAGGTCTATGATAAGCAACTCTTATGTTTCTCTACTCTAGTCCTTATAGTTGTTATTGTAACTGTAATAATTACTGTTTATATTAGGATCTATTCATAGCACTTATTTTACATATATGTATATATACACTTACATACACACACAGATGAAAGAATGTATATTTCTAGCATATACATAAGTAATGATATATCATGCAATGTGATCATGACAATTATGATATCACATTCAACAATATATTTACTATTAGTTTACAAGGAAAACACTCCTTTTTTTTTTCCTTTTCTAGAGTAGTCTTTAAGAAGAACTTTAGGAAGTTAGTTAAAATACAAATATAAGCTTTAATAACTGATACATAATTGTATAAACAGCTCTACTGTGACAAATTATGGAAACATTTCTCTGTAGACACGGTCCTTCTTTAAGGAAATGATCTATAAAATAAAAAGATAACAGATGGGCAGTTTTGACAAGGCTGAACACTGCTTATACCATTGTTCTTCTTTACTGTGTGCTCAATGGAGACCTAGGGTGGGGAGTGCCATCTCATTTTGAAAATACTGGCTCCCTGGCTGATCTACTGATGCTGTACCTTAAATACTGAGTCACTTACTAAGAACATGTATAGAGATAAGGAGTTTCTCTGGCCTTCATTTGTATGCTCCATGTTTGGGGTTCAGAAGTACTGAAGCCTCAAAAATTCAGGCAACTTGTATTTAGATAAGGGCCAGCAATGGCAGTCTCTATATTTCCCTCATGACAGGTAAAGCCTCCCTGCACATATAGGGAGTACAGTCTTTTCAGTCTTTCGGGTGCAGTGTGGCATAATTGCACTGCACTAAGCACGTTGCAATTCAACTGGAGCACAACCAAAACTACAACCGTGCACACTTAGACTGGCTTCCTATCAATGCCGATGCTCTACCCTGTGTTTTTTATGTCTTGGGCAGGCATGTTTACCTTTGTTGGCGTACGCTGCCATTCCCATCAATAGGCCCTTGACGCATTGATGCCTCAAAATGGACATTAACTTTTTGGGTCCACGCACTACACAAATGTGAACTAGCATTAAACAATGGCTAACTTGTGCACATGCATTAATGTGTGTTAAAAGGTATCGGTGCAAAGGCCCTTATGTGTATATAACTGTAGTTCCTGTACACTTTTTGTAGTATATGTGATCTCTGTGACCAGTGGTGAGATGCAAGAAGTGCACGGAGCTCTTAGGCTGGGTACACACTACTGCGCTATGGTATGCACGTTATGCTTGTTGGTGCATTGCGATACCATACAATTTGAATGGCACCCCAATGAATAAAGCAGTACAGGTGTGCTGCATTGTGCCTCAATTGTTGCATACCCAAAAAACACAGCAGTTGCAGTTTTGGCCCCGCTGGATGAATTAGCGATCATTCAAAATAAATGAGTTGCTTTAGTGCAAAGCACCTGAATGTACGTGTGTTAATGCACCCCCACAAGTGTGATCCTGGCCTGGCATGGTACTTTTCTTTACCTAGTTTACCCTCCTAGCGGTTTTCTAATTTTAAAGGATAACTTTACTTTTACAAATTAAAAAGATCAGAGGGGCAGACAGCGAATTTCTCTGAGACTTAGCGGTGTTTATGTGTACAGCTGCAGGTGGGAAGACTTATACATAGATATGAGAGGAAGACAGAGCCCGTAGCTGTTCATATGTAATCAGACATGCAGTGATTACCTGCTGATAATCGCCCCAAGCAGTTTGCGTTTAGAGGCGATCATCCGCAGGTAATGGCTGCATGTCTGATTACATGCAAACGGCTGCGGGCGCCGTCAGTTTCTCTGTTCGCATAAAGACTGCTGAGTCTCATTTGTAATCTGCCCCTAAACCCAAGTGTATATGGGGCAAAATACTCATACGTAGACTGCCATGTTTTGCTCTGACATCATGGCGTGCACATCTTTTTGACCAGCTGCTTTGCTAGGCACATTTTATTCCTTAGGGAGCAATCATGGTGCTAGTCACACTGGGGTTTTTTTTTCAACTATTTTTTTTTTCCAGGAATGTTGATGCGCGCATTCCTTAGCAGACCTAATTCTAAGGCCCCGTTCACACCAGGGCGGTTTGGCTGCGCGGATCTGCCGACATGAACGATACCCTACATTGCTATGGGGGACTGTGCGCGATCTGAACCGCCTCCTGCCCGAATTGCTCCCTGACCCTTTTTCACCGCGCTGATCAGTGCAGTTTCCATACTGCTTTCAATGGAACTGCGCTGTTCACGTGGTTTTGGGCGTTTTTAAATGCGTTTCAGCGCTGAAATTATATTAAAAACACCCAAAACTGCCCTTTTAAAATCCGCGCAGAAACTGCACTGATCCTCAACCGCCCTGGTGTGAACGGGGCCTAAAACAGGGCACAAAAATAGCATTATTAGAATGTTTAATGCATACTGTGATCTGGAACTGTGTCCTATGAATTGAACATTGGTCTATGCTTTGCTAGACAAATTCCAGAATCATGTTTGCTCTGCATTTGCTCTGTTTATCCTAGTGATCCATGCCTATTGTCTTTGTCAACACGTTGGACACAGAATAAAGTTTATTTATATGTGGTTGGGGGATAGAGATCCCCGTGGTTAAAAACCTTCAATAGCATGTTCAGTTGGTAGACACCGTGGGATGTTCAAAAGGAAAAGCACAGTAAGGGTCCATTCACACCTATATGTTTCACACTTTATAATGCGCGTCATGTACACAAGGTAGCCAATGTGCTAGCTCACATTTGTGCGTTGGATTGATAGACATTATCTGTTTTTGGATGCATTATTACACATTATAGGGCCAAGGCAATGCATTAAAAAGCATGACTATCCATATCGCACATGGAAACTCCCAAAGGGCATTGTTTTCCTGCATTTGATTTGTGTTCGGAATCCATCAAACACAAGTCAGCAGATTCCCATTCACCTCAATCATGCAGTGAAGATGACCATTCTGAGGCAGTGTTTGCCCTGCTTTTCCGTGGACAACATTTTTGAGGCGACTTTTCACCTCCATTTTTCTGTCCTATTGGAGATGCATTTGTGTTGCGGGCAAAACCCGGCCTTGTGCATATGAATGCGATAAAATGTAAAGGCAGCAATTCCCCTGTACTCTAAGACGGCTGCCTTTGTTATCTCATGCTAGATTAGAAAAAGAATAAAAGCTTCCAATTTACTGGTGTGATTTTATTGTTCCATGAATATACAACAGATTAAATACCAATTGTATCTTCCTAATGACTTATTTTTGATATCCTGCACCTATAGATTTCTGTTATACTGTATATAAGATCATTTTTCATCTTATCAAAGCTAACATATATATGAATTGAACTATTTAATACGGATAATAAACGTGCTAAAGTTGTCTGTGTGTGTGTGTTTGTGTTGTCTCTCCTTGGACTGGACACACGTGTGTATAATCATAGTGGAGGGATGAGAAACTTACTGAGAGGCTGTGTAGGGAGCCCCCTAGTGGCGAGGCTTGCTGGGGCTCATAAGCAGCCTATCAGGAGGGGAAAGGAGACAGAGCGCAGCCGTTTGACGGGACCTCCTCCTGCGAGTACTCAGCAGCATCAGGCGGCATTTGTGTTTGAAGAGGCGATGGCTACAGCCAGCAGCAGAGGCGCGGCTCCCAGGGCCCCGTGCAGGTAAGTACACACCGGACCGTTGCTGTTGCACTCGTGCAGGAAACCTGCTTGTGTTACACTGCTTTCTATAGACCCGCGTATGACAGGGACAAGGTAGAACACCAGTAGGGAGGTCAGTAGTTTAGGCCGCGGGAGGGGGGGATTTTGCAGGCGGCATGTGGTGGGTGATCAGTTCGCATGCGGTACAAATGGTTCCCTGTGGGGTGAACTATACCAAAATCTAGAGTGGTTGCCAATGACTATCATTTTGCTTTCAACAAATTAAATAGAGAAAATGATTGGTTGCCATGGGCAACTGCTGCTCCAGTTTGTATGATTCCCCACCCCATATTTATTTAGGCTTAGTAATTAGGAGGGGCAAACTAACTACATGACGCTGCATCACTTCTTTAGAGCATTCTATGAACAGTCTTTACATCTTGCACTACTAATTTTAGCAATTAATTTACAGAGGGGATTTTATCAAAACTGGAGCAGACAAAATGGAGCAGTGGCCTATGGTAACCAATCCGCTTCTCTCTTCAGTTTAAGTTGAAAAGTAGAGCAGCTGATTGTTTGCCATGGGCAACTGTTCCAGATTGTCTGTTCCTTTCAGTGATCTTAATAAAAAAAACTTCACTATTTGCCCTAATTATGTAAACATGGCATGAAGTAAGAACAGTCTATTCAATTAATGTTTTCACTGGGGGGAGAGAAATGTCACAACTGGAGCAGTTGCCCATGGCAACCTATCTGCTTCTATTCTGTTTGTGCAGTTAAGATTTGAAAATGAAAGAGAGAAGTTGGTTGCCAGATTTTGCCTGCTCCAGTTTTGATAGCTTCCCTTCGGTGTATAGAAGAGGTATTTAAAATGGGGGCAATGCAAAGTCTAACTAGGGCCAAACAATGAAAAATTTATATAACCAATAGGGCTGCAACAAATCGACTTTATAATCGATAATGAGAATCGTTGGCAACGATTCTCATCATCGATTAGTTGCTTTTCAATTTAGTTGTTGCTGCCGCTCTGCTCTTCTGTTCTCCTCCCCGCGGTTGCTGGCTGCAGCAGTCTGTGGCCCTCCCTATCTGTATCGGCAGAGCCAGCGGGGACACTGCAGTCGCAACCAGTGGGGAGGAGAGACCGCTGTGACTCTGCAATCCCCCGCTGCCCCTCGTATCTCAACAGCTGCTCCGTGTCTCCTTTTCTCCAGTTTTTGTTTTTTTATATTGGCTTAGTTTTACAATTCACATTTTAAATCTTTCATTTTCAGTTTAAGCCTGACAAATTTTGCTGCAGGAGGTGTGCTGTGGTGCCATCATTTCAATGGATCCCAATGCACCTCCCGTCCGCAGTGTGATTGCTGTCACGGTACTGCAATGCCCTGCTTTCCAGTGCAACTTCAAGAAATGTGCATACTGTTTTATTCTGAAGTAAACTTTGTCTGTAATGCTGCATTTGTGTATTTTAAATGACTATTTTTATAAAAGTTTATCCCTTTTAGTCGAATTTTAATAATCGGATAACTAATCGATATGAAAATAATCGTTAGCCGCAGTCCTAATAACCAATAAGTAAGCCTGCGTTGTAAACGCATGTCCCCAGCCACCCCTGCTCAGTAAACTGGGATGATGTCTGCTATAATAGAGAGAGGTGAAAGGCTGTGCTAATACTTGACAAATATGACCTAAAATTTAAATAAACTTATTGTAAGAACTTCAGCTAAATGTGTTTAGAGCCACACACGTTTTTTTGTTTTTTTTATATAATATTACAATGGGCTTTTCTTGCTGTATGTTCACCAATACTGGAAGCATGTTTGGGGAGCATGACAAGCGCATAGTTTTAGGAAAAGTGCCTTTTATTACATTATCTGTAGAGGTGCACCGAAATGGAAATTTTAAAACCGAAATAAAAAAAAGTCCGGCCGAAACCGATACCGAAAATGTTTTTATTTATAAACTTTTTAGATTTTTTTTTTGTAGAGAGGAAAGCCCAGCCTCCTGTGACAGCGCTGTCTCCGCCCCCATACTGCTCTGCCGGACTGTGATAGGCAGCTGAGCTGTGTGGGAGGAGAGACGCCGGCCGCTCACAGCATCCCTAATTATCTGTAAATGGTGGCATCCCTATTCCTATGCTATTGTAATATTTTCACCTACCAATAAACTGTTTTTAAATGCATCAAGATGCACTGATGTGTTTTTTATATTTCAGTGACAAGTGCACCTGTTTAAACACTAAGGGTAAATGCGCACTTAAAGGGGAACTGAACTCTGGTAGCTGTAGAGAAGGCAAGCGGAGAGCCAAGAACTAGTCATCAGTAAAGCCAGCAGTCTCTGCAGCTGATCTCTTCCAGTTCCTGAATTGCCATGCCTCATTCTGCACTGTGGGGGACGTTGATGAACCAGATTGATACATTGAGATGCAGATCAGGCTGCCTCTCCTTTATCAAATCTTATTTTTTATACTGGACCTGAATAGGAAAAGTTGTGGGGTGTTTGTTTGACTGTCTGCTTACTTTACAGAGCATTCCTCCGGGGCGTCTGCCGTTGGGGTGCAAACTGCCACTTCTCACATGAAAGGAAGCCTGCTCCACTATGCCGACACTTTCAAAATGGGTTCTGTGGCTATGGTGACAGGTGCAGGTAAAAAAAATCTGTCTATTCAAAAATGCATTTGAAGTTGTAGGTCATTAGTTGCTTTGTAGGCAGGAGTTTGGGAGTCTGGCAAAAGGAAAAGGCTATAAGCTAGCCCGTGAATAACCTCTCCTCTACCAAGTGTGCCACAATATGAATTTGTGTTTTGTTGCTTTTCCGTACAACAAATTGTCTTGCTAATATTTGACTTCAGTCAAGCTGCTTGGGTTGGTCTGTACATAGCAGCTATCTAGATCGGCAGCTCTTCTATGTTTGCACCCCGCTGGACTGAATGAATGTGACTTTTGGGCTGCATGTTTTTGCTTCGCAGCTAACCAATCTGGAAAGCAACACTTTTTGGGTGAGAACATGTCTGAAGAATCACTTTGTGAGTAAGGCTAATTGGTCTGGAGCACCATGAGCTACGTCACTTCTGCACCATTTTTCATTCACTGCAACTGCCAGTTTAGCCCAGTAAGGCCCCGTTCACATTGGGCGATTTATCGCGCGGTAATTCCCGCAATATCGCGGCTATTTACCGCGCGATATCGCTCTCCAATGATTGGCGAAGGGTCCTGCGGGTCGTGCGTCGCTACAGCAGGACCCTTTTTGGAGCGTATTTTGCCGCGATTCCAGCTTGCTCAATGCAAGCATTTGTGTGATATTGCGCAAAATGCAAATCGCGTGGCAAACGCGCAATTTGCGAATCGCGCAGTGTGGATGGGGCCTAAGGGTTAAGGCTTGAGGATTCAGTTTTGATATCTGTTGGGTGGCGTGCCACATGAGCTGTGCTTTTTCCTGCTGTTCAGACCAGAGGACGTAACATGCACCTGTTCCTCAAGCACCATGTGGCTCTCGGGTCAGTTTCCACTACTCACCTTCAGTGACTTGGTCAACCCTTGTTGCCTGAAACCCCAATTGGCACCTGCCTAGGTTTGTGAGTATTAAGGCCTTGTCAAATCTGCTGTGGCTCTTTCTGCTGACGCCTCCTTCAGGCCCGCTTTGGACTTATTGTTTGTGACAATCTCCTATCCCATTTTTCTTCCTTCTGGTACGATGTATTGATTTCTCGCATAACTGAAGCATGCTGTGTAGAGGAGTGGTACAAGTGGCTTACAACTTTTCCTGTTTTCCAGTGTCTAAACTCCTTTTAGCTGGCATAACCAAAATCTAATAGAATTCCTGTTTCCCTCAATGGACCACTTCAAAAGTTTTTACAGAAATCTTGTTCCCATCGGGACTACTTTTCTTTGCATACGATACAATGGGAATGCAAAAGCCACTTGATGCAGGTCAGGAGGCAGTGTTGCCCAATGCATAGAAACATTTGTTGTGCTGTGTGCACTCTTTAATGACCTCTTCTGATGTACATGGGCCCTTGGCGTCATGGGGAGACAGGATCCACACGTAAGTGCTGCTGGAGTGCTTGCTTGGTGCCTGATACTAGTGTACTTTTTGTAATCTTTATAGATTGCATATATTGTACCTTCTCGATGCAGTGCATCACTTCAGATAGCTGTATGCATGATATTTGTGCTAATGTTTATAAGTGATATTTTTAGAGAAAAATAAATTAAAGTTAATTTTAGTGCATACAAACCGAATATAATGCATTATTTTTATGTAAAATATAAATGGAGTTGCAAGGGTGTGGAGGGCTTTACTTTGGTTACGACTACAGCAGCCAGAAAAATGGAAGTCTAAAACCAGGAGTGACAATTGCAATCATTTACTGTTTCAGTAGGAGGGGGGCAGATCAACTGCTGACAGTGTTCTGATATCCCTCGGATACAGCTGCTGACGCCTGCTGTACCAGTCCCAGGAGGGACAGCAGAGGCTGAGGGCCTTGGGGTAGGCATACTCTGAAGCTGTTTACAAGTGGTTGGGTGAAGGGGCACAAATTTGCACACTTTTTACGTTTTGCAACTGCTAAAGTCAAAAAACAATGCGTTGTTTGAAGTTTGTGCAGTGAATAAAAATGTAATTAGACATTTGTTGCGACCTTGGTATTTTAGGGAAGGGATTTTGTATGCATTTTTGTAGAGGTGCACCAAAATGCAAATTTCAAAACCAAATAAGTCAGGCTGAAACCGAATGGGTTTTTATTTTATACTTTTTCATATATTTTATTAATGTATTTTTTACTTTTTAGAAACTTTGGGGAAATATTGGTCTAAACAGACCCCTGATATTTCCCTTTTAAAAGAGATTGGGGACACTGAGTCCTCAATCCTCTTTTTCTGCAGCCCCTGTTTTAAATGAACAGGAATCCTCGAGTGTTCCTGTTCATTCATTCATAACATAACATTTTGGGGGAAATTTTATCAAAATCTGGAGCAGATTTGCACTGCACCCAATCAGCTTCTCTGTCTCATTTTCAAATCTTACCTGAGCAAACTGAAGAGAGATGCTGATTGGTTGCCATGGGCAACTGCTCCAGATTCTGTCCCAGTTTTGATAAATTCCCTCCAGTGTTTACTATAACCGCAATCATGAATGAACAGGAGGTGATGTAGGTCACTTCCCATTCATTCATAATTGAGGATATAGTGAACATACTGTGTCCTCAATTATGTACAAACACTCGGTGATCGCTGAGTGTTTGTATTGGCTCTCCTTTCTGACCGCTTTCACAGGATGCTGAGCGAGTGGTGCAGGTAGGAGAGCTCAGCCTCCTGTGACAGCGCGGGCTGTCTCCGCCCACACACCGCTCTGCCAGACTGTGACAGGAGGCTGAGCAGTGCGGGGAGGAGAGATGTCGGCACCTCACAGCGCTCTTCTCCCGCAGCACTCGGCCTCCTGTGACACTTTCTCTCCTCCCCGCTGGGACACAGCAGCGCCCAGCAAGGGGAAGAGACTACACGAATGCACTGCTGTATCGGCCAGAAAATGCCACTTTTGGCATTATGCCAAAAGTGCCATTTTTGGCTATGTTTTGGCAGCCGATCTATCGGTGCATCCCTAATATTTTTTTAGTCTTCATGATCTCATTATCGGTTTTATAAAAATGCAAGTACTGTTTGTGTAGGGGAATGTGGGTGGTTTTTTTTTTTGTCTTCTTTCTAGCAAATGGTGTGTCTGTCTTGGTAGCATTGTCGTCGTATATCTGGAACAATATTTTGATATTAACTGAAACGTTTAACATTCTTTTGTCACTTCAGTTTCCAGCACACCACAGCTTATATGCCTTCTGATGCTTCTCACTACCACGCTGGCCGCAGAGTTTCTGAACCTTGCATTGTTTCACACTTCAGTGGCCCCCCTACAGGACGCAGGGGTTCTGAGCCGTCCGTTTCTCATTTGCACACACTTGGTTCAGAAAGCCAGACAAAATCCGTTCGGTCATCCACAGAAAACTGGGCTCTTGCTGCTGAATTTATACCTCGGAATGCAGGTAACAAACCAGTATTGCACATGATATGGGGGTCCACTTATGGCACTGAGAAAAGGTGTGGTATTCTGTCTTGGGAGTGTGCCATTGGTTCAGGGCATTGACAAGGGCAGGATGTGCTTGCAGATCTTCCAAACACCATCCCCTTTAGTAGTTTTCTAAATGCTCTGCCCCAGATCTATGTCTTTCCGATTAAACTGGCCATACACCTATAGAGGGGAAAAAGTGTAACCGATTCCTCCATCCTTTTCAGGAAGTGGTTGTTTGTTGCATGCTCATGGCAAGTCCTGACCCTGCTTAAAAGGTTTTTTTGGGCAATATGTACAGTGGGTCTCTCCAGACCTTTTAGTCTAAGTTTTTAGGTCCTGGATTCTGTTCCACTACAAGCCTTGGCCTCTCAAACCTTTTCTAGCAAGCAAGTCCTTTGCAGTTTGTAGGGATGCCCCCCCACTCTGTGTGTGTGGGTTTTTTTTTTAACTTTTCTAATGTGGTATCTAAGGATTAATGGCTAATAATTTGTATGTCCTTCAGGTTTCGGACTTTCCATTCTGCCAATCTTCTTGTTAAGGCTAGTGGACCTTTTCACTGCTCTGGCTCAACCCCACTCTTTGGGAGCCATTACCACAGTGCCAAAGCGGGGAAGGGTTCTGGGGTTTTGCACTAACCCGTTGATGGTTCCATAACAATTCATCTAGGTCTGCCCTCTGTTGACTTTGGAGATGCTTGCTTGCATGTCCCCATCTTGCTAGTGCTTTTTGTATGGGCAAGCAGCACTACAAGTTGCCTCTTTTTGCTTTGGTCTGTTTTCTGCACAACGTGTATTCACTAGTGTGCTAGCCTCTGTGGTAAGATGATGGCACTTGCAGTGGAATACCTGGAAGACCACGTACTATAGGGGAACAGTTTGCAGAGGCATCATCAGCCAACAAGTCAGATTCTACACGCGTTTTAAGTCCTGAACCCCCAGAAGTTTTGTGTAATACTTGGGCTTATTCTTGGGCACAGTTTAAGCCAGATTTGTTTGTTCCACAGCAGAAATTCAACCTGTCTGCTACCAGACTCTTAACTCCTTGTGCATGAGAGTTTAGGGTTTGGTGGTAGCCTTCGTCGGGACAGATCTGTGTGCCCAAATCCACTCCAGTTCATTACAACTTAACATTTGGTCTGCATGAGACTAGAAGCCACAGTCTCTGGATCTTCTGAGATACTTGACACTCGGGTTGTCTCTAGTTAGTGGCTCAGAGCATCCAGCCCTGGAGTTGGGTTAATTTCTTCCATTGGGCTAGAAGAAACCTACAATAGGTACCAACCGGATGGACTGGAGAGGTGTCGTGGACATTCTTTTTGGTGCAAGGAGCTGGAAGACTGTTTCCTTATCAAAATGCTGGCATTCTGAGCTTTTTTGTTATCCCATTCATGCTGGTGCTCTCTGACTGAAATCTGGTAAGATGACTTTGCAGCCTGACAATACCAAAGCTGCGGCATACATCAGCTGTCGAGGGAGCAGAAGTCTTGCTGCTTTTAGAGTAAGGCTACATACACTAGGTGCTATTGGATGCTTTTTAAAGTTTTTCTGCACGCATATACAGTACATGCATCTAATTTCTAATGGATCTATTCACACTTTGCATTTTAGATGCTGTTATTTACAGTCAGTTTATCTGTGTTTAGAGAACATAGAAGTCATGTGCATCCACCAAAAGCATGTGTTTTTGTTTTTTGTTTAACCTTTTGATGCTGGTCATTTCTGAATCCAGCTTTGTTTGATCACAATCTTGCTAATATGGCACTGTTCCAGGCCTGGCCACATTCAAGTTGAGAGATTGATCCATCCTATGGAACTCTTTACCCCAACCTGTCCGTCTATCTCCCACACTGACTGCCTTTAGGCGATCCCTTAACTCATCTCTTCAGGGAAGCCTGTCCCACCTCACCCTAACCACTGAACAGTCACTTTCTCAAACAACCATCCCCGCGCAGCTACCTCCTCATGTATCACTTGCCCCTCCCTTTTAGATTGTAAGCCCTCACGGGCAGGGCCCTCCTTACCATCTTGTCTTAAATTGTATTGTGACTGTAATGTCTTCCTTATATTGTGCAAACTATTGGCGCTATATAAATCCTGTATACTGTAATTACAAGTATTTCATAAGTGTCAAAGGCTTTTATTGACAATTACACTAAGTTTATGCACAGAGTCAATATTTGCAGTGTGGAAATGTTTTGGGGGGGATTAAGTTTATTTTCTTGGCAAATTGGACTTTGCAATTGATCTGATCACTCTTCATAACATTCTGGATTATATACAAATTGCCATCATACAAACTGAAGCTGCAGACTTTGTGAAAATCATCAATATGTCTTTCTCAACTTTTGGCCAGGGCTGTAAAAATCCAGTCTTGATGCTTCAGCTCTAAAATTTAATGTGTGGGTCTAAGTGTAATGTGTGTGTGGTTTTTTTTTTGTTTTTTTTTTGTTTTTTTTTTGTTTAACCTAGGGCTTGTAAGATCTGTGTCTAGTCCTGTCCTAATGTCTAAGGAAGCAGATAGCCATGATGAAACAAAGCATCAAACCTCTATGAAGATCCTGGTAAGTAAACCTTAAAATAAAATATAACCTAATAACTGGTATCCACTTCAGCATTTCTAACAGGGCTTTTTTATTTTTGGAGGACGATTCAGAACGTCAGTATGAACGCAGCAGGGATGTGGTCTGTGGCATCTGCATGGATAAAGTGTATGACAAGCAGGTAGCTGAAAGAGTGTTTGGAATCTTGCCCAACTGCAGCCATGCATATTGTGTTGAATGTATTAAACGCTGGAGAAAGACCAGAGAATTTCAGAATGAAGTTGTTAAGTGAGTTCAACTTTACTATCCTGTTTTGGGTCTTGCGTGCTTTAATTTGGAGAACTTGAATTTTACCACTTTCTCCTGTGTTCCAGAGGCTGCCCGCAATGTCGTGTAAAATCCAGTTACTTTATTCCTCATAAATACTGGATTGGAGACTCTGATGAGAAGCTAAAGCTAATTGAAAATTTTAAAGCAAAGACTGGGTATGTAAGATCTGTTGTATTTTAATCTCAAAGCTGATGACTTTATAAAAACCCCTGTAAAGTAATCAGTATGATCACTCAATACAACAGACTGAGATTTGAGGTGTTTCTCACCCATTATGAATGTGGGTGGCGCTTACAGGAGATATCTGTACATTGAAGTGGACCTTGCACTAAAATCCTTTGTCTGCCTTTTTTAAATGGGTATCCAATCTCTAAAATCTTTCACGTGGGAGCAAATGTAAATATGCTTGCTTTAAGCCTGCTTCCCCACAGGGAGATGTCATGGTCCTCCCCTGAGCAAGTCCCAAATATCACAACAATATTGATTTACAATGGCGCAGGAGAGTTCACATGATACTTGAGGTTCTCTCAGCTCCCTGGATCTCACCAGAAGTATAGTGATCTTTCCCTCGCCTAGGTTCTGAGAGTAGAGTCGGAGTGTCTTTGCTGTCCGCTGTAGAACAGTCCTTCACCTCTGGTTTGTATTGCTGCCTACCAGAGGATTGGACATAAACCAAAAAAGTGTAGGCCAGCCTGGGATAACCCCTCCTACCAGCATACCTCAGTTTTTGCTAGTGTCTAGGAGGATAGATATGTTACACAGCAGAGCAAAAGACAAGACAACATTTTATACCAGCCCTTGTTTAATCACTCTTCCAAGCAATATCTGGTTGAACTGATTGTTCCGTGCATAGTTCTCACTATAAACTTGAAACCTTTCATATGTTAGTGAGATCTTGTGTGGGGTGTTTTTTAATTGGTCTTGTGTTGTCTGGAGTTTTCACTGTCTAGTGTTGAAACAAACCAGTATGCGCCACTATGCACATTGTTTGTCAAAGGATTTGTAAGTTTGTCCACCCACTTCTGATTTATACACCTCCCAGATGGTGCAGTCAAAAAAGTGATGATGCTTTTTTGTCGGAAGTACATTTTTAGTGGTGGCCTCTCTACTCCTGCCTCCTACCTATTGACTGGGCTGTGTAGGACCAGCAACATACCATCTGCTCCATTCAGCATGTTCTCTGTTGGCACATGTGCATGCAGCATAACCAGATTAGCTTGCAGTACTTTGCTCAGCTCCTATTGCTTTTGCATTTTCCCAGAATGACTTCTGTGCTTCTGCTCTGATGAATAAGAATTAAGTTAAAGTAACTTATTTTTTTTCCTTCCACCTTCTGTGCAGTAAGATTCGCTGTCGCTTCTTTCTTCAAAGTAATGGACGATGCCCATTTAAATCTGAATGTATCTATCGTCACGAGCTGCCACATGGTCACCAGCGCAGGAGGAGGAGGGATCCGAGACGAGCCAGTGCCTCTGCCCTGGTGAGTATATGTGGCTGACCAGGTTAGAAGCCAGAGATTTGGTATACCCCAGGCACGGACATCCTAGTAAATTGCAGCATCCATCCAGATATAAAGCCTCCTATGGGGGGGAGGGAGGAGAGGAGTTTTTTTAGAGGGGAGGAATTAACATTTCCCTCTTTTATCCCTTAAAGTACCGAAAATACCTGATCTGGCTCCAAGCTGTAGAGAGACTAGAAATCTTAGCTAGGAATGTCCGATACCACTTTTTCAAGACCAAGTACTTCCCCTTGCCGATACCAATTACAGATACTCTTTCTTAAAGGGACAGGACATTTAAAAAAACAACAATAATACAGACTAATGATTTCAGGCCAATTTCTTTGATTATGAAGAACTTTAACACTGTTTTTAGAACAATAAAACATTTTAACCTATTCATGTTTTCAACCACGATCGTGTGGGACAGCCCAGGCGGTATTGCGGCAGGAAACCGTTGCTATCTGGCGCAAATGGAGTGCTATTAGAAAATAATGGCACCGCCAACACGATCAGCGGTGGTGTGCGATTCCGTGACTGCCCAGCCATCCGCTCGGTTTGGTGCACGATGACCAGGCTGTCACGGATTGCACATCACCGCGTTTTTTTTTTTTTTTTAATTTACTTTGAAAGTTTTTTTTTTCTAGATTCATGATCTTTTACTTTTTCACTTAACTTTATTGCTATCACACAGGGGATAAACCCCTGTGTGATGGCATTTGGAGGTGGCAGGTTCTCCTTTTTTTTTTTTTGGTTTGGGACAAGTTCACTGTCTGATATAAAGGAGAATAGAAAAGAGCCAGAAAGGAGAGAGTTGACCCAGGGAGTCGCAATAGTAAAACAAAAATACAGATGTCTTGTTGTTTTTAACCAAAAGAAATTGCATATTAGAGGAATCCAAAAAGTCAGTCCAAACGTACTACTGTGAATTAAAACGGTGTATAGTGTCGGTGGCAAGGAGTTCCATTTCGCATGATATAATTAGTAGTTTTTCCAAAATGCGGGAATGACTTGACGATCTGCAGCTAAATGTCTAAAATATCTGCTTTTTAGATTTTCTAGTAGGTATAGTAAAGACATTTTAGTGGATGGCATCAGTCTGCTGTCCCCAGTCTTAGTTCCTTTTTTTTTAGGGTTCCTAAAATGCCAAGACCTTTCAAGTGCACCCACGGTTTCCAGTCTTTTTGGAGACTGGAAGAACCCTGGCAAATCACAAATGGCTGGCAGCCTTGTACCTGTGGGGATGTCTGCCTTTGCAGAACTTTAGACATCTAGCATATAGGTGGTTTTCAGGGACTTAGAATTCTGCTTTAAGCCCTTCTCCTTGGTTAATGTATTCTAACCTGCCCGTATCACTAGGGATGTCTCGCTACTGATGCTAGTACCGGTATCGGGGGCCGATTGCAGGGCATTTTCGGGAGTACTCCTGAAAATGCCCCGATGCATAGATCAGATACCGGCCCTTTAAAAATTTTTAACTAGCTTCGCCCATTGACCCCATAGCCCCTCCCCCGGAATACCTCTCCACCAAACGCAGGCTCCCTCTCCGCTCTGACCTCTCCGGATGGAAGTGTGACAGCATGGCGGGGGGTTTAAGTGCTATGTGTGAAGTGTCTCTTCTCCCTGCCGGTGCTGGCTGCAGAGCTGTGTCCCTTTTCAGAAGAGACTGCAGCTGTGAAATCCCCCCTCCCCCCCATGTACATTAGCTGCTGCTGCTCCTCCGTGTCTGTCCTTTTCAACTTGATGAAACTTTGCTTTTGTTGATATATCACAATGTTTGAGATGTCCGTGCTTCTTATGTGTAATACAGTCACCCAACGTACACTGCAGTTTTCACTCTCATTGAAAGAAGAGAATGTTCAGTGTGCTCACGGGGGAGAAGAGAAGCTGTAAATCTTGCCTTCACACAGAATGGACCTTCTCTTCTTTCATTGAGTGGGAACAACTTCTGTGTATGTCTGGTGAGGGCATTATTAAACACATAAGTGGTGAAACTAGAGGTCTAAAAGACCCCTAATGTCACCTTAAATAGAACCTGACACCTCCAATGCGTGCCGCACTGGTGAGAAACTGCCCTAAAATCATTAGTCTGTATTGTTTTAGAAAAAATGTCACATGTCCCTTTTAAGAAAAAGTATCGGTAATCGGCAAGTACATGAGGGACAGTACTTGTACTTGGTCTTGAAAAAGTGGTATCCGGACATCCCTACGTATCACCATACAGATTGGCAGGTCTCCATGCAGCCTTTCTGGTGGTCTGTAGCAGGGGGTTTTTGTCCCATTACCTGAAGCAGAATAGTTTTAGAGGTTCCACTTCAACCTGTTTGCCAACCAAAAGGGGGGCATCCACCCTATTTGGGATCATGAGGCCCTACGTGTCTTCAAGCCCAGAAATTCTGTATGAATTCCACCATGTCTGTCCTCTAGACATCAAGGATGCTTACCTGCATGTCCCAATTTTTCTAATGCAGCAGCAATTTCTTTGCATTACTGTGGGTCCTTAAAACTTTTACTATGTAGTCCTGCCCTTTTGGTCTTGCAACACTGATTCCCCGACTGGAAGGTCAGTTCACTCAGAAAAGTGGTCTACATTAAACATCAAAGAGACTCCAAAAGTTTTATAAGGGGTCGAAGGATTCTGTCTTGGGAAGAGCTTCCATTCATGTCTGCTCCCCCTCCTCCCTTTTTTTATTTTTAAAGTACCCCGTTCATTCCTTCTGGTAAGCTGTACTTAAGGAGCTCTAAGCGGTTGCTCGGAGTATGCCCCATTCCTTCGTATGGGGAAAGCCAGTGTCGCACATATGCAGTTCAATGTAGCCATTTTCATCAGAGCCTTTGTGTCTTTTGAGCAGGGCTGAATTTTCATATTTTTGATACTAGTTGGCAGCATTCTGGGGGCTAGATTGAACTTTCAAGAGATTGAATTTACAAAGAGGCGAGGAGCTCCTTTTTGTACAATGAATAACTGTCCGAAACCTTTTTTTTTTTGCATGGCGAAAAGTTGATGTGTTTTTAATGTTTTTGTCCTACAGTCTTATTCTCACCTGGTGGGAATCTACGAAGAAGACTTCAGTGAGGAAGAGGACATTGATCTTCTGCATTGTGCTCTCACTCTAGCCCTCATTGAAGATCGTTTTGAATTGGGCCTAGGCTTTCCTGAGGAAGTAGAAATTTTACTGGGAGAGTTCAGTGATTCGGATAAAGTAGATGGGTTTTCTTAAAAAAAATATAAATAAATAATAAATAAAAAAAATCTTTTGTAAAATGTTAAAATTCTATACAATATTCATGTTGTGACTTTAATATTAATCTTGCCCTCTTGCCAGTGGTTTTAATCCTTGCAGTGCATTTCTTTAATAGCAGGCATCTGAAGACCAACTGGAAAAAGGGAAATGTTTGTAGGTTTTTCTTGCTTGAAATTTTAAATTTGTTAAAAAAAACATTGGAGTATATGGAATAAAGATTTGTATTTTTGCTTAAGTCTGTGGGTTTTTTTTCTCTCCTGCCAGATTATCTGTTGGTTCATATGGTTTTTATAAACTGCATCCCACCCCTTTTTAATTAAAAGTGAAGGGTGTATGAAGTTGAGGTTTGTAGTGATGTCCCAAAAGGATTTGCAGGGAAAGTTGTGGAATGTGGCGGAAGGGTGGATCTCCATAAATGTAATGTTTCTGTACTGGTACTGAAGGGCCTAGTATATTCCTGTCTTAAGCTTGTGAAAGGACATGCGGTATGGATCCATTTGCAGGGGTGTCAGTGTGTGGGACAAGGGATGTGACTACAATTAGAATTCAAGTATTGCATCAGAAAGGTGGGATGGTTACATTTTAATTTGTCTGGGCTGGATATGCTGTGCCCCACAGGATTCACCCTGAATAACTTATTTGAGTGCTACACATTATTGCGGTCTCATCCTCACCAACGGATGGATGGATCTGAAGTTTGGTGTCTTCCAGGTTTTTTTTTTTTATTATATATTTTTAACCCTTTCGCTGCCAAGCCCTCGAACATTTTTCAAATCAGCTGGCCAAGCCATTTTTGCATTTTTTTTTTGCAAATTTTTTTTTTTTTTCCCATTTGATTTTCAACTGCTGGGTTGCTAGCGTTTGTAAAAGACCCCCCCAAACCATATATTTTCTGAAAGCGCAGGCCCGGTAGAATAAAAAGATGGTAAAACTAAATTTGTAGGCCCTGTGATGATTGCGCAAATGTTACTCAAAGTAATATTAAACCGATAAAAATACACAATTCAATTGTTAAACACACCAAAATCAGTATCCGTGCACAAAAAAAATATTTTCTGACTAAATCTAAAAGAGAAACTGTATTGAGTTAATAAATAAATATATTTAGCAAATTTGTAATTGCGCCTTTTTGCGAAAAGGTAAAAAAATGAAGGTATGCAAAACTAAATCGACTTGTGTAAAAAAATTGTTTTGGTCTTTGTGTTGTGATAAAATGATACAGGTGTATATTTAATTGCAACACAAAGTATCGCAATGCATGGCAATGAGTCACAAAGCTTTGCCATGCGCTGCCACAGTTAATTTAATGGGGTTTTTTTTTTTTAAGAAAAAAAATAATCACGCACTGCGATGCGTTCTAACAACGCACTGCAGCACATGTGCATGGTGTGCACCACAATATGTGTTATGTGGGGGGAGGGAGAGGTTGTGCTTTAATTTTTTTACACTTTTTTTTTTATTTATTTTACTGTTGGGGGGGCTACGGTGAAATCTCTGGGGTCTAAACAGATCCCTGGCATTTCCCTTTTGAAATTGAGGACACCAAATCCTCAATTCCAACCCTGGAGATTTTTTTTTTTTATCCCCGTTGCCACAGCCCCTACAAGCGGGGAACAGCAGCAGGGATCCATGGAGTCACAGGTCCTGGCCTGGAGCGGCTCCAGCGAAAGGGTTAAATACCATATATTAACCAAAGATGTAGATGCAACTTCCCATAACTGAGCGAATAAACTGGGTAGCAAATTAGCACTGTTTTGAAAGTCCAGACAAAACGTGGTGCAATCCCAACTATAACTAGGGAGAAGCCTCCTATGAAGGGGTAAAACAGGGAATTTCTAAGGTGATATGCAGTGTGGCATGTGCAGTTCACAGCCCCTATTGTGGATGTGCAATGGTGAATTTTATAGGGCAGACACTTAATGTCTTGGACTGTATGGGGAACCGGGGCAGTCCTTCAGCTCAGAGATCCTTGAACTGTCCAATGTAAGCCTTTGCACTCATGCCCCTCTCCAATATTTGATGTAAATTGGAAGAGGGCTGTAGATCTAAAATCTCCATGTTCCCTGGGTTATAGTATGGCCATGACTAAGCTGGCTGGGAAATCCCTGTTGCACTGGATGGGGACCCCCCTCTGGGTATTAAAGTGACTCCAAACTTAGGTGTTCAATCCTAAAAATACATTCAAGTACCATACCTAATTTTATCTTATTTCTGTATCTCGGTAGATCCTCAAATCCTCTCTGAAGTGGTGCTGACACTGTGTGGCCACCGCTCCAAGCTCACTCCTGTGACTACAATTCCAATACAAATTCGTAAACTAAATGAGATTGTAGTTCATCACAGGAGTGAGCTTGGAGAGGTGGCTACTTTACAACATACAGGGAGTCCATTGGGAACAAAGGTATTCACCCCTCCAGAAGGAAGAACAGTGTTGGCACCAATTCAGAGATGATTTGAGGATCTACAGCCAAGTGATACACAAATTAAGGTGCCCATACACTGCACGATTCTCGTATGAGAATCGAGGGAAATCCTGCGATCGTGCAGTGTGAATGAAGACGTGTGACCGTTTCTACTGTACGGTCGCACGTCTTTTGTCTAAGGAGCATGCTTAGAAAACCAGCCGATTATCTTACGATTTTCAGCTGGTTTGAATGATGCTCGGGAGACAAATGCGGAATGGGCCGGTGTGCACACTGCCTGTTCAGCATTGCGGTCATCGCAAGCACGATCTGCCTGTCCAAGATGGGCAGATCGTATGTTTTTTTTAAAATTACTTTACAACCATCGCAAGACTGAGGTCTTGCGATGGTTGTAAAGTGTATGGCCACCTTTAGATACATTTTTGGTAAGGTAGTTAATGGGGGGGGGGGCATTTTAAGGCACTTCCTTAACTGGCAGAGACTGCGAGTAAGGCAAGTAGGAAGAGTCTATTGGCCCTACACCAGTGTGATCTCTCCTTTATATCCAGATGTGCTAATCTCATTTTGACAGCTTGCATCCAGTCCTGCAGAAGTGCTGGGTACGTTGGTTCTGTTGCACACTCAGTGGGCTGAAGTTAAAATGACGGATGTATTGGTGCTCTTACTCTCCCAAATGCTCCGATACCTGAACTTCCCAGTCAGAGGTAGATCTCCCTCTGACCGTCAGTGCCGATGGAACTGGCTTACTTTCCAATCGGGAAGCTGGGCAACATGTAATGACCCACCTCCCGGTATCCTGATAGGTAGCCGGTTTCACTTGTTCCTAGGCATCCTGGCTTCCTAACCAATCCGGAAGCTGGCAGCATGTTATGACTTCTGGTTTTCTGGCGTCCTGGTTTTCTAATTGGTCAGAAAGCCAGGCTGCCTAGAATCAAGTGAATCAGGCTTCCTAGCCATTCAGGGAGGTGGGCCATGACTTGCCACCTGGCGTCCTGATTGGTCAGGCAGCCTTGGCAAGTGAAACCGGTTTCACAGGCAATCAGGAAGCCAGTCCACGGGTCATGATCTGCCCCCTTCTTCCGGATAATCGGGGCACAAGGTGCGGTACTCTGTATTGGCGAGTACCCCCCCCCAAAAAAAAAATCCAAAAAACATATCGGTGCACTCCTAGTTAACATGATGGAGCACAGTACACTTTGTGTTTTTTGATTCTTGGTGAATGAGGCTGAAAGGTGTGCATGAGCCCGTTCGTTGATACCTGAGCCAGATGCTGCTTTTGGGGCCCTGATATGAGAGATCTCTGTGTGGTCATTGCCAAAGCAATAAAGCAATCTTACAGGAAAGGCTCAATGCACAGCTATTTGAGCAGAGCTTGGACCTCATATGATTGGATGGAGAGGGTTATCCCCATCTACAGTCTAGGTTGCCCAACAGTGTGGTTTCTGCTAGCGAGTGTTTTAGTATGGGCCTTCTCTTGCTCATTAATAGAGCTGGGAATTTATGTAGGAAGGCTTGAATAAATGTATTCAGCATTTCTGCCATGTCGTGTGCATAGGATGTCCTGTGGTGTCATTCGGCTGGTGGCCAAGGCTGAATGAACTTTGTCTAGCGCAAAATCCTCAGTGGTAGTCCCCTTCAGTAGCTACCTAAAAATGCCCAGGATAGTTTCTCTAAGGTGAGCCAGTGGGGTTGCTCTTGGCATGCCATGGACTCTGATTCTCTTTGTTCAGATTCTGTTCTCCAGGTCTTTGATCTGGTGTTTTTAAGCTGTGAGGTGGGGCATATAGATTACATGGTACCTGTTTATAGTATGCAGGAATCCTCGACCATATTTATGTGGTTTCCAATCAGTACACCTATGCTGTTTGGGTAGCTTTCGTGCTGTAAGCACTGTTTGGGCGTATATGAAGCAGTTTCAACTATTGTGACAAACAAGTCAAAGTCAGCCTTTTGTGGGTATTTATCTCGGTAACGCTAAGTTCTGGTGTAACTTACAGTATGTCAGGCAGACCAGCAGGTAGAGCCTGGGAGATCTAACTGGCCCAATGGTATCTTTGGGAGAACAGTTGCTTGGTATTGTAGTTTCATACATGGCGCCTTGTGGGGCTCCCATAAAGGTGCCTACAGCATCTTGGATTTTGTGTAGCATGGGCTTTCAGTGGGTGAGAGAAATATTGCTGTAGCTGCAGAAGGTTCCATCTTTCCTGCTGTCTGCTTGTCATAGCAAAATGTGTGCTTGAATGGCAGCTATCAGTGCTTGGATCAGGCTGTTCAGAGCAGATACCCATGAGCTCATCAGAGATGGTCTCTCACAGTAATGCATGGTGCAGTTAGACACTGGTTTATCTTGGAGATCAGCTTGTATCTCTTTGGAAACTTTCCTTGGCTCTTTGCCATTTGCTCTAGCCTTCTGTTCAATCCACGGGTGATTTTCATTTCGCAGCCATATCCAGGGAGGTTGGTTATACTCCCATGGATCTTAAAGGGCAATTCCAGACAGTGGGTTATTTCCAATAGCGCAGGCCCACTGGCTTCTGTCAATTAGCAGAAGAGCAGACCTGATGAAAAACTTGGTTCTCAGAATTCCCCATCAGGCTCTGCCTACTCAGTCCCCAGCATTGTCATGTAGCTCAAAGTATTGTTAGCCAGCGGCGTAACAACGCAATGGGACTGAGTGTTCTGGGTGCTGCTTGACAATGCATGGGACTGAGTGACTCACCTTGGAACTGCATGACAACACATGGGACTGAGTGACTGGTGGGAGATGCATGATGACTGAGTGACTCTGCTGGGAGATGCATGATGACTGAGTGACTCTGCTGGGAGATGCATGATGACTGAGTGACTCTCCTTGGAACTGTGTGAATGCTGCACCCAGCGAAGCCACTCCATCCCATGTGTTGTCATGCAGCTCAAATGAGTCATTCTGTCCCATGAATTGTCACACAGCACCCAGAACAGTCACTCAGTCCCATGCATTGTTAATGCAGTTCAAAAGAGTCACTCAGCCAGCTGCATGACAACAAGGGGGACTGAGTGATCTGGGAGCTGCGTGACCACGCATGGAAGTGAGTCTCCTTGGAACTGTGACCATGCACGGGACTGAGTTACTCTCCTAGGAACTGTGACAGCGCATGGGGCTGAGTGACTCTCCTAGGAACTGCATGACAATGCATGTGACTGAAGGAGAAACCAAACTTCAGCAACACACCGCAGGAATGTATCCAAAAGCACGTCTTCTTTATCGATGCATATTTTCACATGTAAAGCACAGCATTTCGGTATATATACTGAGCCTGATGAAGGGAACCCTGCGTGGCCCCAAAACGTTGTGCTTTATACAGTGTGTGACAATATGCGTAAATAAACATGTGCTTTTGGATACATTCCTACAGTGTGCTGGTGACATTTCGTTTCATCTTTGATCCATTCAGCACCATCCGCGATCACTTCAGCACCCACCTTCCTAGCGGTTGTCTGGTAAGGAGTGCGGCAGGATACGCAGTTCAAAGGAAAGTCCCTCAGTCTCATGCAGTTCCAAGGAGTTTACTCAGTGCCATGCATTGTCACGCAGTTCCAAAGAGTGACTCAGTCCCATGCATTGTCACATAATTCCAAGGAGAGTCACTCAGTCCCATTGTTGTCATATAATTCCAAGGAGAGTCACTCAGTCCCATTGTTGTCACATAATTCCAAGGAGAGTCACTCAGTCCCATGTGTTGTCACATAATTCCAAGGAGAGTCACTCAGTCCCATGTGTTGTCACGCAGTTCCAAGGAGAATCACTCAGTCCAGTGTGTTGTCACGTAGTTCAAAGGGGAGCCATTTGTGGTGGTATGCATCTTCCAGTGGAATAACTCTGTCCTATGCATTGTCAAGCAATTCCAAGAAGAGTCACTCAGTCCCATATGTTGTCATGCATCGCCCAGTGAAATCACTCAGTCCCATGCATCCTCACACAGCTCCTTGCTCAGCCACTCAGTCCCATGAGTTGTCACACAGCTCCTTGCTCAGCCACTCAGTCCCATGCATTGTCACACAGCTCCTTGCTCAGCCACTCAGTCCCATGCATTGTCACACAGATCGCAGAGTCGCTCAGTCCCATGCATTGTCATGCAGTTCCAATGAGTCTCTCAGTCCCATGCGTTGTCACACAGTTTCAAGGACAGTCACTCAGTTCCATTGCATTATCTCACAGTTCAAAAGAGAGTCACTCAGCCAGCTGTTATAACAACACATGGGACTAAATGACTCTCCTTGTAACTGTGTGACAGCACATCAGACTGAGTGACTGTGCTGGGAGCTGCGTTCCCATAGTTCTAAGAAGAGTCAGTAAGTCCTATGCATTGTCCCTTAGCTCCAACGGACTGTCACACAGATTGCTGCACTATATATAGCACAGCGCTATGCGCATTAGCATTATTTATTTGCATGGTACCCCAATGCAACTCTTGCCTGCCATGCACTGCAACACAGTGCTGTGTGCTAATGCAATAACGTGCGTTGCAGTGGGGAAAAAAGTAGTGCATGCTTAACATAAATTTATTATAAATTAATTTAAAATAGAATGTGAATTATATACATTCATATATATTCATCATATAGAATGTACATTATATACATAAATATACAATGTAAATTGTATTCTTTTTATGTGTGCACCTGACATGAATTGAGTGTCCACATTGCACGCTCTAAATAAAGTTAATCTAAAAAAACGGTGGCAGTTGCAATACGACACGGCAGGAGCAGTCCACTCAACACGCTGTTTTTGTTAAATGGCAACTATGAACGGACCCTGAGGGTGGTGACAGGAGTCTGTGGATGGGTCAATGGGTGTGTACATATAATACAGATACCTTTGTTAGCTCTGCCCATCTCCCCCTCCACTCTGACTATACTCCTCCAACTTCCTCTATTTCATAATGCCTTCTGGGAGATGTAGTCTGCTCAGTATGTGAGGCTTTCATGTGCACTTATTTCACGGATCCTCCTTCTGGCTGCAGGAAGGACTGATCTGTACTAGGAGGATGGTGATGTCACTGACAGCTAAAAACGAGGATTGCACGAAAAGTAAGCACTTATATCATAAATTGTTACAGTAGTTTGCTTCCACTGACTGAGGGGGACCTAAATATATAAAATGATGTGCATACTGAAGTTCTTTAAAGCTACAAAGAAAACTTTCACCTCTAACCCTAGCAAACAGGATGGTCAGTAGATGCTTCAATGGACATTGAGGCGCAGGCTGCAGATCCTAATTTGTACTGACTGGTATTATGAGGAAGGGCATGAGGGTGAATGTAGGTTGCCCACTACCCTCCAAGCACCATTCAGTCTGCAAATGTGACCTGTAAAAAGTTAATTGTATGTAAGAATTCTTTGTGTGACTAATGCCAGAAATTCTTACAAAGTGCCCTTTATGTAGCTTTCTTCACAGTCGTACAGTCAAAGGTAAAACATATATGATCAAACCAGTGATTCCTGTACACAAAAGTAGTTTATCGTTCCATAGTGGAGGGACTTTGGGATAAACAGATAGTGTTCAAATACAAGAGTCATGTGTATTCATACGCAGGGGCGTCCCGAGGCCGGTTGTCACCCGGAGCGGATATTGGGTGACAGCCCGCCGCGGCGTCATGCGCGTGACATTACCACGCATGCGCTGCCATCTTTGTGATACCTGCCGACGGCCACGGTGATGGACGCCGGCAGAGAGAGGAGGGGACGTTCACCCGTCAGGATAAGGTATGCCACTGGGTCCCCTCCTCTGTCCTGCAACTGTTGGGCTCACGGTCCATGGCCGAGTGCCTGACTTTTCAGAGGGGGTGACACCAAAATGACTGTCACTCATTTTGGTTTCACCCCTCCAATGGTGTCACACGGGTGTGGGCCGCACCTCCCTCGTGACGCCACTGTTCATAAGTGGTCTCTGTATTTTTCATCCTGATCTTTGCAGTGACCTAGTGTGAAACTTTACCTCTGTGCAGAAGCTTCCTGTAATAAGGATCAGTCACCTGTGCTCTCTCTCCTTATGCAGGGTGACTGGTCTTGTATCCGCCCCTCCTGTAGTTTTCTGCAGGCATCCTGTAGTCAGGGTTAAGGGGGGCTCCTGGATCTCTCCCACAGCTGTACTCTCTGCACAAGCTATGCAGCGCAATGATGTCACTGCTACTTTTACAAAGTGATATCTAAATTTGCAAAGGCATTTGCTACACATAAAGTGGATTTATATCCTTTGTGGCTAATCAGAAATATATTTCAAGTTTTTGTGTCTGGAGTTCATCCTAAAAGGAGGGCATGCTATAATTATGAGCAAATATGCTGAGTGTTTTTATGGAAATGGTATCATGTTATATGACTTGTTTTTTGTTGATGCATTTCACATTGTTTATAGACTTTAATGGCAGGAACCGCTCTCCCGGAGAGGGCTGCCATTCTCTTACTGCAGGCTCTGGGCAGTGAACAAAATGGATTTTTGGCAGCTCATAGGGTTCTGCAATGTTTTCCCGGACCTTTCCCCTGGATAAGTATAATGGAGGATTTGTGCATGAAAGTGCCCACAGTGGATGGATCAACTGGGGAAATGACCCTGTGAGTAATATTCTTATTATTCTTAATATTTTGTGTACAATCCCACACTCTTTAATTGTTTCAAGGCCGAAATACGTACCGTATATAAATGGCGGCAACCTGAAGAAGTTATACTAAGATCATGGCTGCTGCAGCAGTTGTGATCTTGGTATCATTTTTTTTTTTACAGCTGTCGCAAATCTACTTCTCTCCATTGTATTTTTTTTTCTTCTCAGAAAACCAAAACTTGCCCTACTTCCACTGCAAACACAAAGGAACTTGTTCAGGCTCCTGGATCTTATATATTCCCGGCTGCCAGCTCCAGCCATCCAACTTTGGTTGCAGGCCATCAGTGTGGAAAAAGACTTCTCAGATGCTTGGTTACTCTACATGAGGCAACATTTCCTGACAAGTAGTGGCATTAAGAGTCTTGTCCAAAGTCCTGAGGTGGCAGAAAGTCTGCATACACTCTGCAAGCAGCTAAATCAGTCACCCATTGGACACATGAAAGTAGGCTGGTATAAAAATCCCTGTGTCCCCATGGAAGATGAGCAGACTATAGACTTTGATAGCAGAATACTGATAGAAGACAAAGAAAGATACCATGTAAATGATGGCACTAAAGAATTGTTTATTGACTCGCTACCACTGAGCTCCCTGACAGAAGCAAATACAGAGGCCACAGAAGAGATACCAGTTTTGCCTGCATCTATTGAGGTAAAGGTCCACACGCTTGGAGAGACCCTGTCTACAGACACCCATTTCAACAACAATCTTCCCATAACATTATTTATAGGCTTAATGTATTTTATGCATGTTATTTACCCATAAAAGTACCAATGCTTTGCTTTCGGTACTCGTCGATACCGGTGCTTTTGCTGGCACGGAGACGGCTTCCCGGGCAATCTGATTGGCCAGGAAGCCAGGTTGACGAGTAATGACTCGCCTCCCAGCTTCCTGATGGCCGGGAAGCCGGCTTCTCGGCCAATCAGCATCAAGCCAGCTGTTTGGCCAGCCAGCTTCCTGATCGCTCGGGGAGCTGGCTCCATGTTCGCCTACGGCACTGCCGCTCAGAGGAAATCTTCCTTTGACCGGACATTCCGGTATCGGGGAAGGTATTGGAGCATTTGGGCGAGTATGCATACTCGCCAAAATACTCGTTATCAGCACTGATACTAGTGTCAGTATCGGTGCATCCCTATTGTCTGGTGTAGATATTAACGGGGGTCCCACGCACAAACAAAAAAAAGTGGGATTCCCCCTTCACATCAGTAGCACCATTCACATCAGAGCTGTCCCCCCTCTTTCATACCAGAATTCCACCTTTCACGATCCGAAGCCAACTTCAATTAGAAGTTCCCCTTACATCAGGAGCCCCTGTTTCACATTAGAACCCCCTTCCACATCATAGTCCTTAGACCCCCTTCACATTAGAATCTTACCATCACCTTATGAGTAACAGCTGCAACAGCATGGCAGAGAGCAGGAGGTGGACCAGGCCCTATTGGAGGTGAACGTCCATTCTTTTCTGAGTAGATCCCTGCTCAGATTATTATAATTGGTTTCCATGGTGCTGGTGGCCAGCCTGTCGGCACCATGGAGAGGCCGGGCACTATTTGAAAATTTCAAGGAACCCCAGGGTGCCACAGCACACTGGTAGAGAGGCTGGCCTAGGCTGTCCATTCATTCAGCTCTTTGAAGAGGCCCTAAAATACAAATATAATAGTTACTATGGGAAAAAGTTCTATGTTATGTGTACATATACAGTGGGGCAAAAAAGTATTTAGTCAGCCACCAATTGTGCAAGTTCTCCCACTTTCCATCAGCAAGGGCATTGAAGATGAAACGTGGCTGGGTCTTTCAACATGACAATGATCCCAAACATACCGCCCGGGCAACGAAGGAGTGGCTTCGTAAGAAGCATTTCAAGGTCCTGGAGTGGCCTAGCCAGTCTCCAGATCTCAACCCCATAGAAAACCTTTGGAGGGAGTTGAAAGTCCGTGTTGCCCAGCGACAGCCCCAAAACATCACTGCTCTAGAGGAGATCTGTATGGAGGAATGGGCCAACATACCAGCAACAGTGTGTGCCAACCTTGTGAAGACGTACAGGACACGTTTGACCTCTGTCATTGCCAACAAAGGATATATAACAAAGTATTGAGATGACCTTTTGATATTGACCAAATACTTATTTTCCACCATAATTTGCAAATAAATTTGTTCCAAATCAGCCAATGTGATTTGTCTGGATTTTTTTTCTCATTTTGTCTCTCATAGTTGAGGTCTACTTATGATACCAATTACAGGCTTCTCTAATCTTTTTAAGTTGGAGAACTTGCACAATTGGTGGCTGACTAAATACTTTTTTGCCCAACTGTATATACATATATATTTTTTTCTCTAATATATATGCATTTTTCTGATAGTTTCCTTATTACGCCTGTCATCTTTTTCAGGCTCGTGCCCCTAAACTCAAGCAGTTCCTTTACTTTAACATGGAGTCTGAGGTAATGACAGAGGTAGTTTGCCTGTTGTGAAAAGAGCTGGTAAGATTTTTGCCAGTGAACTTACAGTTGTGTTTTCTTAATTTTCAGTCGCTGGACCACGAATTTCTAACAGAGATAAATAAAATATTTGATTTGTGTAGCCCATTACAGGTATGTAAAATGTCTTGGTAATAAGTTACATCTTTGGTCACTCAAAGTGATTAAACTGCAGGAGCTCATAGAACTACAGCAACCATGACTGCATGCAACCTTTCTGTGCTATGTTCTCTCAAATGGTGTTTGTGCATTTACTGCATAACGAAAAAATCTGATTATTGTTTGTTTTCTGTGGGTTCTGTAGTGTTGCTTTTCCTGCTTGACATGACCTGTTATCATTTGTTATCCTGTTTCTCTTTACAGCTGGAAACTCTCTTCTCTAGTGCTGGCATTGCACAGCTCTCCCTGAAGTGCCTGTTTCAGCTCTGCGTTCACATTGATTCGTTATCCCCGGACATTAGTTATGCCCATGCCAAGTCATTAGCCAAAAGTCTCTTCTTGGATAGGGTAAGCCATGCATTTCCAGACCAAGCACTGTTTTTTTTCTGTCAGACCTCTTTAAAATTACTATGAGTATTGAGTATTTTTTAATCACATGTCTTTCTTTGTCAGTGTCTGTTTACTGGCTAAAATCTATGCAGTTTCATATGTATTGCACAAAATGTATCTAACTGGAAAATGTAGACATTGCAATGGTGCCAGGAGCGGGATAATTGAAGATCCCTGGTGCCCACCTTCCAGCCCTTGGGCCACAGCCAGTAGCAGAAGCTAATTGGGCAGTAATTACCATGATCCCTAGAAGCCTTGTATACCATATCTCTAACAGTTTGTAACAGCATATATCCAGCTTTTAACTACACCTTTTGCATGTCACTAGTCTCAGACCATCCTCAGCCGTGTGTCAGACAATTCCTTGTGCCATTAAGTATGCTAAATATTATATGCAGCTTCCTGGGGATGTCAGAAGCTGCAGTTGAGGTTCCTTGTGTTTAGTTGATAGACCACCACTGATTTGGAAATATTTGTAGAGACTGTCACAGAGGGAAAGGGAGGCAAACTACTGCGGGTATGCAGTGCATGCACCTCATAGCCTCTCTAACCATCCTGTCACTGCTGAATTTCAGGCCTTTCTGCACGGCAAAGCCCAATCATTTCTGAAAAGCTTGTTTGCCCAGCTCCTATTTCCTGCATAATTAGCCAGTGAGGCTGCCATCATAGTGATGTTGCCATTAAGAATATAGTGAAAGTTCAAACACTGCATTGAAGTGTCAGTGCTTTTCCTGTTACAATGGCCATGCCTGGAGAGATTGAGTGATGAAGTCATCCACTGGGTGAGGTGTCACACGCTTTTCACTTTTTTTTTCCCCTCCCAAATGTAGCATTGAGAAAGCACTTTCCTCTTGCTGCCCCTGACTGCCTTTGAGTCCTTGGTTCATCTATGCTACCCGCCTACAGTGACTCATCCCCGTTATGTTGGATTCGAGACACATAGGGAACACTGTCCTGGGTGCCTCCAGGTCGCGTTCCACTTACATTTAGGTATTGCCTGCAGTGTGTACCTTGAGGTGCCTGAAAACTAATGGTCTAGAATTAATTAATCATTAATCCCAAACATAAAGAGAACATCTTATTGATGCAGTACGTACTCGTTATTTCTAGTCATCATCTATGGAGACTGAAGGAACCCTGAGAATCTGTTTACCCCTCAAACAACTATCAGCTCTGTACCCGACTGAGGAGGACTTTGTTCAAAGTTGTATTGCCCCCTCTGTGGATTCAAAAAGATCTCATCTTAGCAAAGCTTTAATTATCCCCGTGGAGCATGCACTTGTGTTTAAGGACCTCCACCAGTTGGGAGGCCTGCACTGCAACCTGTCTTGGCTGTGACCTTCATTTTCCAAACCCTAGCTCGCTGGGCTAAGGCCATCAGAAGGCATTTGTTCATTATAGTAGTATTTAGATCTCATGCCTGCAGCATTGAACTACAGTGTGAACCGGTTGTTAGAGATCTCCCATCTCATTTTCCTTGAGAGTCTCTGTCAGCGAATATGAGGAGGACTCTTTGGAGCTGGCATACTCCCATTGGGGGAGCTTGGAATATGACCTTGGGCACTGGGCTCTGCATAGGTTCTGAGGAAGGGGGCGTGGCTCTGGAAGCGCATTAACCCAGGCATACTGTGCTGTCACATAGGAACCACCATTTGTGCAGCTCTCACATGTTGTATCTTGTTTTTTGCTAAGACTGAGGATCAACCTTTGATTTTGAAGGCTCAATGTTATCTACTCTTTTGTGAGTAATATTCCACTTTTTGCCATTTGTATAATAAAAATATATCTACACTAGGGAAGGTGCCCCTTGTTTTTGTTTTTTCATCAGATGTGGTACTATGACCTGATCAGACTCCCGGCAGGTACTTCGTCATCTCTTTCAGATTGTCTGGATCTTTTGTCCCTAGGACCAGTTTACTATCCTGCTTCTCAGTTGCTGACTTTAACAGGTTGTAAGGGACAGAGGCATCTCTGAATCAGTGATTCCCATGATGCTAAAAACTAGGAAGTCTTCCCTGCAAGTCTGCCACTGCACATGGAAGGCAAACTTTGCTCGGTGCTACGTAAGAAACTTTTATCCCAGGTATTTTTCCATGGGATGAATCCTGAGCTTTTTGCAAAATAGCATGGACCAGAATTTGGCCCATAGCACCATCAAGCATCAGATCCCTGCGTTTGCTTCCAAAAGTTAGTTTTGGCCTTTCATCTGAGTTAGGACATTGTTAAGCCCCTCTGTCCAGCTAAAGTCCATTAGAAGGAGATCTCCCTCCATTGTCTAGATGTAGTGCAGGCGGTAAGTCTATTGAAAAGACTGACTCTCTTTATGATTCCGGACGGTCCCTGTAATCGGGAACCTGCTTCTCCTTCCACCATCTCCCGGTGGCTCTGACAGACCATCATCCAAGTCTTCTTTTCACACATTCTCTAAGTTATACCAGGTGGATGTTCGGATGTTCAGGCCTCTTCTGATGCCAGCTTTGGGCATAAGGTCCTTCAGACGGATCTTTTTTTTTTTTTTATGTGGGCCTGTTTAGTGTTTTGTTCCTATTGCCCATCCCTCAGTTGGACACCCCTCAATGGACTTGATTTTTGTACTTATCATAAAATCTATTTCTTAAACTCTGAGGGACACAGGTCCCTCCTCTCTGTGTCTATAATTTTGCTCTTGTTTCTGCTTTCTCATAAAACTGAGGCATGTTGGGAGTAGGAGGGGGTTTTACTAGAGTAGCCTACAATTGTTTTTTGCTAGTGTCCAGTCCTCTGGTACATGGCAGTATAACTCAACAGTCTCTGAATTCCAGTGTCCCTCAATGGACTCCAAGAATAGAGATAATTTTTACACAAAGTATGCCTTTTTTTCTCTTTTGCAGCTCAGTTCTGTGCGTCTCTTTCAGCCTTTGCTATCACTTCATACAGCTTTTCAAGGAGGGGAAGGGGCCCTGACATTTTAATCAGACCTTGCAAAGTCTGCTTTAAAATTGTTCCATACAGGGGTTGTTGGCCTTAGTTGACAATATCTACCAAATGTATAATTTGTCTGATGCAGCCAAATATTCAAATAAAATGATTGAGGCCATTTTCTATTAGTTCAAATACTACAATCAGTTACTAATTTTGAGCTTTGTTTCCCATAGGTGCTCTTACTCACTTCACCGGCATCTCGTACTCTCACCGCAGCACTTTCTACGTTTTGCAACAAGTATGCCCATTCTGCCTGCAGCAGTCTTATTGGCCCCATATTGGTTCAAGCAGAACCAGGTAGTCAAAGTGAATTGATTTGTTTACTGTGTGTTATTTTTAGAACTTGTATTACTTTCTTCATTGTCACTGGTTTAAAATTTACATATTTTTGGATCTTCAGTGCCTTTCCTCCAAATGCAACAGTTTGTTATTGTGTTGGGCTGACGGATCAGTTTACTGCTATTGCTTTTGGATTTTCTTTGTTTAGGCACCGTGCATGCTGATTTTCTTTGCCGAATGGTTTCTGAATGTCTTCAACCACATCAGCTGCATCTGTGTTTTAGGTAAAGAATAAGTTTAACATATCTTGTCTCACATCCTGGTGATTCAGAATGCTTACAATATTTGAAAATGTTTACTGCAAGCAGGCATTAGAAAATCCAGGCAAAGCACAATTTGGTAAAAATAAGTTGGTGCACTGAATGTTTTGAGACTGTGGCAAGGATTTGGCTATTATGTCCTATTACATTTAATGGTGTTTGAGTCATAACTACCCTCTCCTTATCTATGAAGGAAGGCTACAAAACTCCTGTGAAGCTTCAGTTCAGTTATCGCATGCCTGCTTTAATTGTTTGTTAAGAAACAACCTCGGATTACAATGACAATTAAATGCCAAATCTGTTGTTACCTTATTGTATGAGTGAAACGTTGGCTATTGACTATTATATTTTCTTTATGTTTACACGTTTAATGGTGGTTACGCCTATTTGTCTGGTTTCTTTTCAGTCCAATCCTTGATATATCATGCACTGAAGTTGCTATTGCTATTCTGCACTTGCTGATTGATAAAAAGGTAAGAAAAATATATAAAATATTACCCACTACAATACCATTACTCATTAAAAATTAAATGGTTGACATTTTTACATAATTTATTGTACCACTGCAGGATGTCTAAAATAAAGCTGGGTACACATGGAGCGAATTTCAGCCAGTTTCTAATGAACTGTCCAAAATTTGCTTAGTGGGTGGTCCTATCTGCCGGCTCCCACCTGACATCCTTTGATTCAAAATTGTAGGCTGAACAGCCACTGCATCCAGATGCAGCCACTGTTCAAATATTTTGACAGATGGCAGGGCTGCAGTGGGAGATTCCTCCATTCATGCTGTTTAGCATGGATAGAGAAATCTGTTAGACTTTTTTCAATCAGCCCCATATCGGAACAAAAAAAATAATCTAACTGTTTATTTTCAGCTTTAGTATTGCCAGATTAGTAGTAGGCCTGATTGTTGCACCACTGGCCATGTCTGAGGCACAGGTCAACAACAATTTTGTTACATGGATTATAATGAACGTTTAAAGCAGACTTTGTTAAAGGAGAATTATGAGGCGAGTGATTTTCATTCAGCCTCATAATCTGAGCCGACCTGTGACAATGAAACTGTCACAGGTCGGCTCAGTAGATCAGGAAGTGAGTGAACACATACCGTCGCTCGCTCACTTCTCGATCTATCCCTGCAGAGAGCCGTTACTGTCACTCACGGTTCCCTGCAGGGATTCCCCCCCTCCCCTGTCCGATCCTCCAGCGCTGACTGCCCAAACGGATGGGGGAGGGGGCGGGCACAGTTGGCTCTGCCTCTGGATAGGCGGGTATTGTCGGGATCCGCCCCGGCTGCGGCGTCTCAGTATACCGCGAGCTGTAACTCGCGGTATACTGAGCTTCGTGTAATGGGAGGACGCTAGTTTGTGTCCTCCCGTGACCCTTAGGAGAACTATGGGGAAAAGCCCTGACCCCATAGTTCTCCTTTTAATATTAAATAAAAAAATTAAATAAAGTGCTGTTTTTCTATCAAGCTTAGTTTTATGGTAATCCCATCTGCATTATTCTGTTAAAGTGGTACTAAACCCATATGTGTTTTTTAACTTAATTCACTGCTAGTAAGCAGTGTAGCATGCCCCAAAATATGTGAATAAAATAGCGTAGGCAAGCAATTGCAATACTCACCTCCTGTCTGCCACTCGGTCCCAGCCACAGAGCCCAGCTTTCCCAAACTTCTGGGTAGATCAGTGTGTGTAAGGGGAGCAAAGGCGCATGCACAGTTGAGGTTACAGGAGGGGCGAGGAGGAGTGTCTTACAGTGTCAGACATTGCTAGGCAATGGACGCACGTTGGGACGCACACACAGGGTGTCTCCGTGGAACCCTGTAAGAAGGAGACACTGGAGAATAGGGCAGCGGCACCAGCGATGAAGGGATCTTCTTCCTTCTTTACACGAGCATTAGGAGAGGCGGGGGGGGCATAGGCTTTAGTGTCCCTTTAAATTGGTGACCTTAGTGTGCTGGCTGATTACTGCTGGAACATTGATGTTCCTTCACCAAAAAATCAAACACTGCTTCTTTTTATGTAACATTTTAAGTGATTCAATTAACAAAAGCCAATTATATAAAGTCGTATGCTACTTAGAACCCTTGTCTGAGAAATTCTGAAAATGTATTTAAGTTAAGCAATCAAAAATACTGTAGAACTTACCAGTTTTTTGTGACACAAAATATTAATTTTTTTTTTTTCTCAGTGAACTGCGGTCAATATATCATTTTTTCTTTCAGGATAAATTCTGTCAGTCAGAATTTGACCCATTATTAAACTATCTGTGTCAAGCTGCTGAGAAGTTTTCAAAGTCTGTTACCTTTTCCAAATTGTTGTTGGTCCTCCTGAACAGCAAGCCTAACCTGGTATGTGTTTAAAGTATAATTTTATGATCTAAGTGTAACTAATAACAATGAAATTAATATACAGACTTGAGGTATATAAATGGATTAGTTTATGTACAAATGCTTATAAATAGGTGCATAAATAAAGTCAAGCGTATGTGGTGGGCAACAAACATTATGTGACCCTCCTTCCTTTTAAAGTAGTATTAAAGGCATGGTGTATTTCACCTTAATGCATTCTTTGCACTGAAGTAAAAAACACCCAGGACCTTTCTATGACCCCCCACCTCCCAACACCTACCTGGGGCTGCTTGTCTCCTCCGCCGCAGCCAAGAAGATACTCGTCATTCCCCGAACTTCCTGGTTGTGGGGGAGGGCCGTAGCTAGGGCGAGGCGACTGAGGCGGGGGGAGAAGTGGGGCGGCACAGCCTGCAGCTTCTCCTCTGGATCCCCGCTGCTCTCCCCCGCCTGTATGGGCACAGGCAGCGGGAATCCGAGAAGTGAATCGCTCAAGCCAACAGAGGGTGCGGAGGAGGGAGCTGTCACTTTAGGATGGCCGAGCGGTGAAGAGAGAGAGTGAGAGCCGCTCGGCCAGGATCTGACAGCCGGCAGCTCTCTCTCTCCTCATCGCTCGGCCATCCTGAAGTGACATGCTTTACATCACTTCCTGTACATTTATGAGTTTCTGAATGGGAAGTAGCACTCTGTACAGAGGCTTCTCCCCATTCAGAAACTGGTTAATAGTAAATATTTTCTGAATGAATGGGAAGCCTCTGTACTTTCCATTCATTTAGAACAGAGGCTGCAGAAAAAGAGATTGAGGACTTTGTGTCCTCAATTTCTTTTTCTATATATAAAAGGGAAATATCAGGGGGCTGTTTAGAGTACTGTATCTCAAGTGTGGTCTGCCAGAGCCCAAATAAACTTTGTGGGTATATGTTTACTATTTTACCTTAAACAGGATTTGTAATTTTCTACAGCAATTCTTGTGATTTACACACATTTTCTGTGCTGCACAGACAACCAGTGACACAAATAATCCTTGATGAAAGAAGAACTCTGGGGGAAAATTTGTTATTAACCTTTGCAGTGTGGCTACCCCACACACTGCAAGGGTTAACTGCTCATTTGTGTGTGAGTGGTAAAAAAAATAAAAATATGCTCACCTGATCATTAGAGCCGGCTTTTTCTTGGACCGGTACTGAGAGCCTACTCCAGTGCGTGGGTAGCCCCACTGCAAGGGTTCATAACCTTTTTCCATTGTAGCTCCGTACGACGTACGTCCTTGGCAGCGAAAGGGTTAAGCAATTAATCTTCCTGGTTCAGCTTCCTATGCCCCCAACCCCCAGCCTTCTCACTGGACTATGAATCTGAATCCTCACTTCTATTTTTTGTGCAACGAGCTTACCCAAAAAGCAGTAAAGTAGACTCAGAAAAAAGTAATGCTAAACAATAGAATAACCAAGTGATTTTAATAGCAGAGGGGAAGTTATCACAAGACTGCGTGGGCAAAAGTACAAATCTTTTGGCAAGAAAACCAGTAAACATACCGTACATGTATTACAACTGTGCATTTGCCTGGAATTCTATCTTATTGTTAAGTATATTGTGATACAAACAGATTTTGATGTACTGTTGTAGGGAGGCTGTGAGCCAGGAGCGTGCATTTCTACCGAGGTTCCAAGGATGCTTTCTTTGTTAGAACTACTCATAGGTTTGAAGTCATTAAAAACTTCTATATCGCCTCCTGCAAGCAAATTTATATTATGCAGTCAAATGACAGAAGGAAAGAAGAAGGTTGATTAGCAAATATGGTTGCTTTGCCTGAATTTATGAAATGAGCTAAGTGCGTTTTTAAACTGCACTTTTTCAAAGTATTATAAGTCAGTAACTAAAGGTCATGAAATATCAACCTCATTAATAAAGGAATATTAAACCCAGCAGTCATAAGGGGAGAAACTAGGGGGTTTTCCCATAGTATATGTAATTAGTCTATTTCAGTGTGAACCAGTATAGTACAACCAATAATTAAATTATATAAAGAAATACAAAAATGTCTCCCTAATATGATTTCAAGTATACAGACGCAAATACAGTAGCTTTTTTTTTTTTAGTTCTTCATTTCGTTGATTTTTCATTGCTAATTTCCTGATTACATATTAGCATGGTAGATCACTGTGATGCCGACAGTCGGAGATGAGCCTATATGGTTGATGTGAATCCAGTTCGCTTGAGTTTGCCCGAGTTCGCCCCATCCCTCTCACAACTGTGACTGCCACTTCCTGGCCCAGTTGCGGTGGGGGCATTCCTCGCCCCATTGAGACACATAGCTGCAACTCTCCACAACTGATTTGGCCAGGAGGAAGGGGTGACAGTAATAGTTTTGAACAAACTGGGTTGGCACCATGCCCAGGCTCTACTCTACTGACCATACAATGGTAACACAAAACATAAACCATAAAACATGGCTTCCTCCTTCCATTGTGATTTACAGTCTGTGGAATTTTTAATCCATACTATTGGTGGCAGGTGTACTTGTTCTGTACGGTGGCATTTGCTGCAATTAAAAACTTTAAAATTGCCTAAACATTGCAACATGCATAGCCAACATAATTCTGATGTACACAGCTAAAGTTGCTTAGAACTGGAATCTACCTTTAACACAGACACATTTTCAGAAGCTTTTAAATGTGCTGCTGTTTAAATAGGACTTAACTCTCTCTAGTACTACAACTAAGATCTAGAATTACATACCGGTGATATACATTAATGATAATATATTTCTTGTTTCAGATTCAGTTATCTCATCTTGGACCTTTAACTAGTGCACTGAACTGTAACCAGACTTTCATGAAGAAGTCCCTGCAAAATGCATTAAAGAAAGTAGCAGAACAAAAATAAATTCCTGACTTTATATTATGTATTACACACACGTCGGAGCTGGTGAACGCTAAACACCTTCTACATATAACTTGAAAATGGACAACTGGAATCAAGTTGCTGTGTATAACTCCTAAGCAGGTTTTTGTATATGCAATTGAATGTTTGTTTGTTTGTTTGTTTAGTTGAGTGATATACAACAATAGTAAAAAGTTATTTTGTGTGAGGAAACTCTTTTGAGAGCAGGACACTGTTGTAAATAGCTTGTGCAGGGAGCAGAGTTGTGGCTGAGACTCTGTAGGTCCTACCACAACAGTCTACCTGCAGAAAACTACAAGACCCGCCATCCTGCACAAAGAGAGAGCAGCAGCGACTGGTCTTCTTTTTTTTTTTTTTGCAGGAAACGCTTGCACTGGAGTTTTTTGATAGATTACAGCAAATATTTGGAAAAATACACAGGAAACTGAGATTCAGTAAGAATATACATGCATTTTGCATTTAGACTGTTTGTTTAGCCTGAATTTAAGCTTTATTAATGCAAATTCTGTCTCCGGTTTCATGAAGATTAAAGTAGTGTCGGGGACGTACAGTGTACTTCTCCCGTCGCTAAGGAGTTAAATACCAAATCACTAAGTACCCAAATAACTGTACACTGTACGTGCGCGGCTATTTAGGGCTCTGGAATGCCAGTAACTGCTGAGATCAGTAGTTACTGTTCATTAATGGATGCCTCACTAACGAGGCATCCATTAATTAAATGTTTTAAGCAGTTTCAGACACCCCATCGCTTTTATTGATTGGGTGTGTGACAGTGAAAGGAGTGTGGTGTAAACTGCACTTCCCATTACTGTTAGGCAGCCGTACGCAAATCCCAATGGCTGTGTACCTGCATTTTGCTGAGTGGTTCAGCATAAAAGCATTCAGCAAAAGCCGAAAGCTGCCTGCTTCAGGCTTCTGATCTTTGTGGCAACTAGCACAACGATCTGAAGTCTTTTTAGTGACATCTGAACCTGACATGTTGCAGTGCATGTCTGGCTCAGTGTCACTAAGGTTATTATTGGCTGTCCCTGAGTTTGGAGCAGCCTTATAATAACCAAAAATGTATTTCAATTATTAAGCAGTCATAGTGACTTCCATTTACAATGACTGCTTGATATAATTGACGAACACTGGCTTGTCATGTCCCCCTTCTCTCCCTGTCAAGGCAATAACTGACAGCTAGATTAAAGTAAAAAAAAAAATATATATATATATATTATATATACATATACTATTATTATTACATAAATTAGCCCCTCACAATTAAAATCTGCACCTGACATTTAGTGACATTTGTATGCCACCTGTCTCACCTGGTGACCACTATTGGCTTTTAGAGGAAAAAAAATCAAATATTAGCTTTCAGTTTTAGGCTGAAAAGTACAGAATAATTGATGAAATCCTACAGGCATGTGAGGCGTTTCCAAATAAAGGACAAATAAATGAATTTATTTTAATGCAATTTTTTAGCTATGCTATTTTTATAAAAAATAAACTGCAGGAAAAGCGTTTTCTTTACATTTTTTCTTCTTTTTAAAAATATTTTATTTGTACTAAGTGAGGCGTTAAGCACACATGTGATATAAATATATACCCCTATCTGTCTTCTGAAAAAAAAAAATATATATAATATGCGTGGGTGCGTATATCAATGCCGTAAAAATGCTGTCAAAATGTAAAAAAAGTGCTTCAGTCATTAATGAGCCAAAACTGAAAAAAAGCATAGTCATGAAGGGGTTAAACACATATAAATCATATTTGTGCAAATTCTGCATGATATATTTGTATGCTTTTTATTGTTCTCAGGTACACCTAAGGGCCATTTAACCACCCCACTCCTAGAATTATGAATTTGCCTTTCCTTCTCCTGCTCTTCCATTTAGCCAGTGGAATGGGGGAAAGATAGCCCTGTGTAAACTTGTGATTGATTTGTCAGAACTTACACAAAACTATACACTCCTTCCCAGCCCCTATAGGCATGTGGGTAGCATTGGGCCAGTTGTGAAGGACCTAATCATATTGTATAGAGCAGCGGTTCTCAACCTTTCTGGTGCCGCGACCCTTTGATAACAATGCCCAAGTTGTGGCGACCCCTAACTAAAATTATTTTGTTGCTCCTTCATCGCCGTAATTTTGCTACCGTTAGAAAGCGGTTGCCGGCCACCCGGGAGAGAAACACTTTCTGCCGGAAAGGTTTACTCTGCTCGATCGAGCAGAGTAAACCTTTCCCTGCTCTGGTTTCTTTTTTCTGACATCGGAGCCGCCGGCGGTCGTCACTCAAAGAATAAAAAAACAGCATAGGAATGCATATCTAGATTCCTATTGGCTATTTCAAATTGTAATATCCAATAGCAAGCTGGCTATTGCACCGGCCCTCTGCTGCTGTCAATTACTAAAAGGGGACCAGATGGAAAACTTCAGGTTCCCTTCTGCTGATTGACAGCAGCAGAGGGCGGGTGCAATAGCTAGTTTGCTATTGGCTATTGCAAAGTGAAATAGCCAATAGGAATCTAGCTATGCATTCCTATGCTGGTTTTTTTTGATGTCGGAAAAAAGAAAAAAACCAGAGCAGGGAAAGGTTTACTCTGCTTGATCGAGCAGAGTAAACCTTTTCGGGAGAAAGTGTTTCGTGGCTGGGAGCTGCTATCTAATAGCGTCTTTAGGCGACCCCTGGCAAATCGTCATTCGACCCCCGACGGGGTCGCGACCCACAGGTTGAGAACCTCATAAAGAGGGAGTGAGTCAAGTTTCTGCATAGGAAAAAGTTATTTTAATGCTGATGTTCCCATAGTGTCAATGTCTGTTATGTATATGGTTTATTTAGGAAAAGGAGCAGAGGAAAAGTGTCAAGTGTTTGACTCCTTTATTTGGCCTTCATTGCAAAAAAAGATATAACATTTTATCAACATCAATGAGAGGAAACATGTTTTGTACAATAGTAAATAAATAAACTTTTTTTCCACATATGAACTGTCTAGAGATGTATTTCTTGTAATAATATATTATCATTCTTTATTCATTAAAGTCCAGCCCTTTTCAGCCTGTTTTCTCTTCCAGCAATCTGGATCTCATATCATTACCATGTGATTATAAAAGTTTCATTGACTCAGGACTTACAACACAGCTACAGTTTGAGCTGCATTCTCTACAGAGTTTCAGGTGTCTGGTTATTCACCAGAAATCCTCCATGTTCCTTGCACAATATCTGGAGTGCTTTTAAGCTGCCTTACACCAGTTGATGATGCGTACTCCTGTAAATGTCCTGCACCATAATGTTATACTCTCCATAGTGCACCTATCTGTCACTCTACACACACTATAATCCCTGATGAAGGGGGGCAGTCCTAGACCCAAATTCACTGACTGCATCTACAGTTCCCGTTTAAACTATTTAAGTAAAATAAACAACTTTTGAACTTTAACCTATTGGTGTGTCATCATACCTGTTCTTTGTGCTCCCTCCCATGACTCCTTGGGACTTTCACCTGGTGCTTTCTGCACTTCAGAGTTACCCTTTGGAGCCACTGCATGAAGCCGCTTCTATGCCCTTTTCTCTGAAGCTCATCACTTCGGCTTTGAGGGAATGGGAGTTAGAAGCTCTGTTTTTTAAATTTCCCTTTATTTTTCACATGGATAAGGTTGTGATACGTCGCCATAAATACAATATTCCTAGACCACCACAAAAATTCTATATGAGGATCTAACCTCTAGGTTTATCAATGAATAATCATATCGATGTCCTCCGTGTACCTCTGAGGTGGCTCAAATCCAGATTTGATATGTGTAGTGTACAGCAAAAAATTGCAGTACATAAATACAAACATTGTGTGTGTGTGTGTGTGTGTGTGTGTATGTGTGTATATATATATATATATATATA